TGAACATGCATTATTATTTATACATACTGTGTTTACAAAATTTTCAGTGTTTTAAGCACCAGTCGATCAAAGGGCAGCGGAATCAGAAAGTTACTGAAGCTTATGAAGCCCAGTAAACAATAATTTATTTCTTATTACTGTAATGGTTTTTATATATGATATTCCTCTTTCTCTTCTTTACTTTTTCTTTTCGCTTGCATCATGTCTATGACAACTCAATGTGTTTGTATTATAGGTTTCAGGAAAGGTCTCAAAATAGGATTACTTTAAAAAGTAGTTTTATTATTTATGCTCTGTTGAAACTGTTAGCTGTAGATGTGCTGTTCAACTTCTGTTTAGCAGTTATTATTGTCAGGGAAAGAATAGAAGCAGAAGAAAAAATGACATCTAGAAAGTTGTATATCAGATATGTCTGTATGTTAATGTATATTAAATGTATAGAACAGAAAAACGAACATCTGTATCTTTTCAAGAAGTACCCAATTAATTAGGTATATTGTTTATTGTTGAAGAAAAGATTATAGCCAATTAGGCAGTTAATTTTTTTAGAAAACAGACCTTTGGTTTTCTGTCTTTTTTTTTTTTCTTAATCTATTTTTTAAAGATTTACTGATTTTATTGGCTGTTAAAAATTGTCGATGAAAACCAAAGATTATTGTTCAATTTATATGAGGGAGCCATTTTTTAGTTTTAAATTTGCTGGTCTTTTCCCTTTGTTGTATTCTTTTGTTGTTAATAATTGAAAGAAAAAATATGAATTCTAAAATTTTGTTAATTTTCAAATTACGTAGCTATAGAGTGTGGAAAGAAAAACAAATAATAGCATTTATTTTTTGAAACTGTTTTTTCTTCTTTTCCCTCCTCGTTTTTTTTTTTTTTTTACAATTACCTTCTTTCCTTTCATAGATCAGTCTTAAGGAATAGTTAATCATATTTTGTTTTCCTTTCATGATCTGTTTGTTGTGTGTTTGTGCGTGTGTGTGCGTGTGTTTGCTTCCATTTTTTTTTGTCTTTTAGTTTAAATGCATTTATTTTTTCCTTTTTTTCTCATTTATTCAGATATTTATGGGGTAAATATGGTATGGAAGTTTAAGATTGAACATACCAATCGGCATCAC